TTATGCGTATTGTGTTGCACCCACCTCTCAGGTGACAGGCCATGCAAGAGAAACACCACAATACCAGGCCTTTCAGCTTGTGACATCAATTTGTTTTCTAGTGCTTTTCTAGTCTGCTTTGTAGTAGATTACGATCTTCAAATCATCTCAGTAGCCTACATCTCCTTCAGGGGCACCATGTAGTTACAGAAAGGCTGGGGTTAATTCACATTAAAGATGTAAAACTATCAACTGAAAATATATTGTTTCCTCTTTTTCACACTTCTATAGTCCACAACACTTCAGTGGGAAATATTGTAATTTTTTTGAACTACAATTATTTTACAGTTTTAGTTACTAGTTACTAGAGCTGTTAAAACATAATCATCCTGTAAAACAGGATACGATTGTTTTAGATCAAATAACCAGACAGTATATAAAGTATTCAAAATGAAGTCCACCTCAATGAACTACAACATTAGAATATTTACACTTTAATGCATCCATAAAAATAATCTAATATCATAATAAATATACTAGCATTCAGCAAGAGGCCCTTTAGTATGATGGAGACATTTATTGTGAAACTTTAAGAAGATTCTACATGTTAGTACCTCTCTACTTTTACTCTATTAAAACTTTGAATGCAGGACTTTTACTTGTAATAATGTATTTTTATAGTGTGGTATTTATAGTTTTACCCAATGGTGGAAAGTAAGTAAAGTGAATTTATTCTAAGTATCATCATAGGTACTTGTACTTTACTTGAGTAAACTTTCTTCTCCACATCATTTTAAAAGGAAAATATTGTACTTTTTACTTGACTACATTTATCTGGACGCTGATGTAACTTGTTTCTTTTCAGTTGAGGATTTTACATTTAAAAAGAAACAAATGCTAAGCTCTTAAAATACAATACATTATTAAAGATTAAACCAGTGGTTCTGGTTCTTCAGTGTATGACGGTTATTAATTTAATGCTCAAAACCATAAATATCAGATTTTCTACAAAAACCAAATCTTAAAGTGAACTACAAAATCTATAGATACAAATTTGTGCAGTAAAACATTGTTTTTTCTTCTTTCCTTTCCCATTAATCATCTCACAACCTCTCAGATTTATCTTGTGACCCTTTGAGGGGCCTGACTCCTGGGTTGGGACTCAGTGGACAACTACCAAACTGTGGGCCTATATAAAGTAACCTAGCTCCACTTCGAGCAGCTACAACAGTAAAAGGCTGCTTATACGTCAATCCATCAATTTGACAAGCTAATAGTGCCAAATATAATAAGTTCATCAGTCACAATACTTTTACTTTTGATACCTGAAATACATTTTGCTGATAATACTTTTACTGAAGTAAAGCACCTGAATACACACTGAAAGTACTACTATTATGGCAAAACTGTAGTCCACTTCCTGATTAAATTAAAAGCAACTTCACCTCAACAGTGACTCAGAGCCTGGATAGTCTGTAGTGTATGAAAGAACATTTTTAATCGTGTGAAACTCTGTTAAAACAATGCAAACACAACAGAAATAACCATAGAACCTCTCACAGACAAGTGCTTACATACAGTGAATTATATTCCTATCTAAAATGACAGGCCTACTTCATCACATCTCTGTCAAACTGAGGCTACTGTGCTTCTGATCTCTCTCGTTCAGCATCAGTGGAGAAGCTGAAAACAGAAGCAGTCACAGGACTTTCAGAACTCCCTCTGTACCATGACCACTGGTGGATTAAAATAGATGGGCCATGACTTTGTCTCCTTGGTCACACCATTAGAGCTATGACTGACAGCTTCCTGAGGTGGTTTCCTTTTTTAAATTGAGAGTCATGACTTCAGCCCACAACCTCTGATGTGTTTTACAGTGAAACACTATAGTCAGACAGGTAGCCGCAGAACAGAGATGGATGTTGGTTGTGAAAGAGGGCTAACCAGCAACTTTGATTTCTTTAAAGTATATTCGGGGAAAGAAAATAGTTCTACTGGTTGAACACAGGTCAGTAAGTTAAGATTCAAGATTTTTCTGACTTTGTGGTGTAATTCTTGGAGTTGTTTTTGAGCTTGTAAGGTTACATATGATAGAAAGAGTTAGATTTTTTCTTTCAACATGTGCAGTTCGATACCACTTTCATATCTGTAATATCTGTGTTAAATATGAAGCTGTAGCCAGGACGCTATTAGCTTAGCTTAGCATAAAGACAGGAAACGGGGTTCTGTCCAAAAGTAACAAAATGTGCCTACCACCATCTATAAAGTCCACTTATCAACACATTATATCTCTTTATCGCCATACAACAACCAAAGAAATGTGGTTTTACAGGGGTTATGTGTTTTACTTTTTCCTGGCTTGGGGCAGTGACTTTCTGGAGTCTCTGCTGGTTGCCTGGCAACTGCTGCCTTAGCTAAGCTAACCGTCTGCTGGCTGTAGCTTTACAGTACACACATGAGAGTGGTATCAATCTTCTCATACAAAGCAGCGGTCACACCACGAACTGACATTCATGGAAGCTTGTTGACATGATGACTATGCTCACAGCTAATGCTAAATGCTAAAGCTAATGAGCTTGCTAAAAGTCAGGTAGACAGTTAGTCAATTAAATTCCCAGTTTATTCAGTTTATTCAAAAGACATATTTGTGCCATCGTCTCCTGTCTCATAACTGTCTGCAAACAGCTGCTCTTTTGTGAAACATATTTTTCTGCAACAGCAGAGGTTAAATAAAAGTTAATGGCGCAACACAGCTAAAAGCTACAATAGTTTCTTCTATTTTGACTCTCAGTTCCCTCAAAGTCACCACTACCAAGCAACTTGCTCTTGGTCAGTGATGCACATTCATGCATCAAAGGTCACCAAAGTTGAATTCGCCAAAGGAATTGATTGATGTGATCGCAAAATGTCTCCATTTTAAATTCTGGCCTTTACTCTCTGCAAGAAAGAGAATACATGTATTTCCAAAATGTCAAAGTATTCCTTTGAGAAATACTTCCTTAAGCACCTTACCACCTGGACAAAGTTAATCGTATCTGTATATTGGTGGGTTGAAGAAACTCCATCCCACCTTAATGAATAAGATTGATTTTGAAATTGCTGCAATTACTAATCTAATTTAAAAGCTCTTTGCTTTTGAGAGGGAAACATGGGTTTGTCAGGACTGAAATCAGTTCAGTGAGTCACAAAATCTGCACATTTTCCAAAGGCTGGTGAAAATTTATTTAGGGTAGGAACAGGAAAGATGAATAGCCATTTGTTGTGTCTGTAACTCATATTCATCTGTTTCTCCCTTGTTAGAAGTGTTCATGTTGTAGCAACTGCAGTAAGACAGTGATGAGACCTGCCAAATCACCATGGGCTGTGCCGATGTACTCTCAAACTGAAGAGCATTGCTTGGCAATGTACTGTAAACACCTAACATCTGTCACATGGCACAGTCTAAATGGTGGGTCAAGGAATAGGGCATCCATAGTACAAGTAAGGAAATCCTCTCAACCTCTGAAGGAAATGTTTTAATTCATTTCATATAATATATAATCTTTATCTATTTTTGTTCTAGATTCAAGATTTATTTGTCACATAGACTACTGTACACTGTGAAGTATGCAGTGAAATACTTAGTTTTCATCTCCATAGACTAAGCATAGTGCAAGTTACAATAAAATAGACAGAAATGCAAACACATTTTTAATCAGAACATTTTTTTTTAAATAGCACATTTAGACCAAAAATAGATAACAAATGAGCAAATGTACAATACAGAACGTATTAGAATATAAGCAAGTAGTTAAAAGTGGATATGGAAAACAGTGTATGAAATATGAAGAAATATTATATTGTTTATTCAACAGGATTATGCATAATACCCTACTCTTATTGCATCAGTTATAGCTAACAGCTTATTTTCATCTACTTCAACATGTTGGGGGCTGCCAGTGATGCACAGGAGAATCAGTCACCTTTTTTAAGCCTGAAATTGAATATAAGGTGTTGATCATTACCTCTGAATGGTAAGCACAGAAATTTCCCAGCACCTCACATAATCATAGCTCATGTGAGAAACCATGTGAGATGTTTAGCTTTTTTTTTTCTTTTTTTTTTAAAGTCTAAGCCAAAACTTTGCAAGTATGGACATTCATAGCAGGAACTTAACTTCCAAACCTCTGCATATCACATTTCTCTCATCAAAGGAGGTCTCTGTGTCAGGGCAGGTGTGGCTGAAAACCTGTGGTTGAAAAGGAAGACAGCAGAGGAGGAGGTGGAGGAGGCCAGCCCTCATATGAGCTGCCCTTAAAACAATAATCCTGCTTTCACCCTCAACTCCGCCGTTCTCTCCAAGTGATCATATCCTCATCATTCCCATGTCAGCACCATGTGGTTAGGAATAATAGTCAGAAACAGCCAGGACACCTGAATTCAAGATGAAGAATATGTAGAGCAAAACAATCAAAACCTACCTTTAAAAAACAATGGAAACAGATTGTGATGGATACCGACAAAGAGAGGTGTGTTCTTACTCTCTGACAACTGCTATTATCTTACTATTTTCCTAATACACTCCACTTTAATTTTCTGTCCTGGCACCTACATTGGTCTGGAAAAACAGAAGGAGTTGCCCCCCCCCTCTTTTTTTTTTCCCAGAGGTGGAGTTCTTATTAATGTTACCATGCTGTCTGGCCCAGCTGAATATATTTACTTAGTGTTAGAAGAGTGGTGGCCACAAAAGCAGGAATGTGCCTAAGTGTGACTTGAAAGCGGCTGTTACATTTTAATTTTTAACCCATAAAATAAATACAGAGCGGTCCTGCAATTTTTATGAATGGCTGCATTCATTCCAAAACACGCCCACCAATCAGCAAACTACCCCGTGGTAAAGCCACGCCCGCTTGGAATGTCTGCGGCGTTGCCTGCACGCCGATTGGTTAGAAGTATGGATGGGGGCGGGGTTTCAGGGAGGCTCACAACTGGTATAAAAAGTTAACACAGAGTTTATCCCGGTAGAAAGACAAGGACCAAGGTCCGACAAGAGGCAGAAACTCAGCGTGAAACTACTTAATACTAACAATCATTCAGTGGAGTGTAGCTTAAAGATACTATTTTGTATTTATTTGTATTTTGCTGAAGCTTTTCATCAGTTAATCATGGTATCTCTGATCTACCTGACTGTACTGACAACAGCTGTCATCACACAGGTAAGTGTTTCTCTCTCGGCTGACAGAGGCTCATGTAGCTGTGTGTGAGCCAACAGTCTGCTTACAGAGAGTCTACTCAAAGATTAAGATTAGTTTGGTCTGTCATTTGTTATGGATAATTTACGAGTATAAATGTGATTAAACTTTGACCTCCATGGTATGAACAGCACAAACATCTCTGGTGTAAACAAAACTCAAATGTTTTTAGGGAAAGCTTTCAGACATGTTTCATCTTCAAAGACATATTCTCCACTAAATCAGCATCAGACTGATGCTAATTACTGAAGATTTCTGTCTGCCTAAAAAAAAAAAAAAAGATCAAATGAAAAGTTTGATCAGTGGAGTGTTAGTGGAGTTATAACTCCTATTTATAATGTAAATACTGTTCCTCTGTAGCGGGTTGTCCTTCCTGTTAATTTGCGTGTCTACTCATGTCTGCTTTTTTAAGCACAGTGACATGTTGATTCCTACAGACTGGAGCAAGTTGGCTCCAGTGCTAAGCGATGACTCAAATCATGAGCCAGCAGTGGACTGGGTACAAACCCTGAGCTGTCTAGACTCTCAGGGATGACTGGCCAGCAGTGACTTGACTTACTGTAGAGGCGTACCGCGGTGCTTCTGTGGAAGAGTTCAAAATAAGCCACAAACCCTGGGGATCCTGAGAGATAACACAGAATCAAAAAATAATGGTGCCAGAGTTCTACCACACACTTTGATGTTGGAAGAAAAGTTGAAACTAATGCACTGAACACCCCTGCGGATGACTGAAGCTCTCTGGTTGCCATACAGTTATTATGTGTGTGTGTGTGTGTGTGTGTGTGTGTGTGTGTGTGTGTGTGTGTCAATCTTCCAATCAAGTACTGTCTAAAATTGATCAAGGAACTGTTGATGTTTGATGAGCAAGGCTGTAGAGTTCACTGTCTCCAGTTTTGACATGCTTTCCCTTCATAGTACTTAATCATCTGGTTCTTGTCTGAAGATGTGACCTCCCTCTCTGTTCCTCCCCTCATCCCTCCAGGTGATTGCTAGCTGCCCAGCAGTGTGTGAGTGCCCTGCAGACCCCCTGGTTTGCCCTCCAGGGGTTAGCACTGTGCCAGATGGATGTGGGTGTTGCAAGGTGTGTGCAGCACAGCTCAACCAGGACTGCAGCCCCATGAGGCCTTGTGACCACCACAAAGGGCTGGAGTGTAATTACGGCAACGATGTAACCATGGCCTGGGGCATCTGTCGAGGTGAGGGCAGAAGGAACAATGTATGCCGACAGGGAAGGAATTTCATTTACTAATGGCTTCCTTGTGCATAGCATTAACGTGCATGGGAAAAATGTTGCATATATTGTGAGGTATATAGTTAATGGGATATGTTAAAAAAGTTAGAGGGTCATGAAGCCTGTGCATCAGTGTACAAAAGATGTCAAGGACATGGATATTAATTGAGCCTCTTTCCCATAAAGTCAAAACCATCACAACACGGTGATCAAGGAATGTGTGATCCTGAACATCCGGGAACAGGACAGGGGATATTTTAATGAGTAGTGGATGTTTTATGACAGCAACAGGGGGTTTCAGAGCTAAAAATACACTTCTCATCTGCACCATGCCAGTGCTGTCCCACAAACTATGTATAGCTGGTTCCACGCTTAGGAGACAAGGAGTCTGACACTTCCTGTCTCCTTATTTCCACTGACCTTTCGATCTTAGTGGTCCTGTGTCTGATTTTGTGTGCTGTTGTGATGTAAAGTCATTGTGTTTCTTTTGGTGAAGTCAAGAGAAGCTTTGTTCAACAGGGTTCATTTCAGGTGCTGAAATGAGATAATATGGGAATTCTTCTTAACATACCTGATGTAAGCAGAAGCTCTATCATTGGTCCCTTTTTAAAGCATGTCCTGTCCTGTACAAAGAGATGCATCTCCAACCCACGGAGTGTACTCAGAATATCCTTGTTGCTCTCTGGTTTATGCATAACCACAGCCAGGTTGTGTACCCTTAACTAGAAGACATTAAGTGTTTTGTTTCAGCTAAGTAATATGTGTGTGTCTCCCCAGCTAAATCTGAGGGACGCACATGCGAGTACAATGGCAGGATCTACCAAAATGGCGAGAGCTTCCGTGCCGGCTGTAAACACCAGTGTACCTGCATTGACGGTGCTGTTGGCTGCGCTCCTCTCTGTAACAACAAGCTGCCACCAGCTTCACCATCCTGCCCCTACCCACGGCTAGTCAGGATACCTGGGCAGTGCTGCTTCAGTGTGGATTGCCATAAGGGCACCTGGCGCCTCCCACCTAAGCATCAGGTGTGTTTTTTGATGTAATGACTACTGTCTCCCTTTTGCAATTCAGCACCTGCCGCTGTGATATCCTCCTGATAGAAAACAAACGTGATTAGTATGAAAGACACTTCTACAAAACAAAACAAAAAAAAATTTCATTACACAAGGAGCAGTTAGTCAATTAATGAGACATTTTTATTTATATATAGTAGGGCTGCAACTAACTGATTATTTTCTCAATGAATCGATTATTCATTTGGCCAAAAGAATTCAGAAAAACTACAAAAATGCATTTTTGCTTAGACCTTAAACTTAACGTTGATCATCTATTCATTTCAGCTGAACTAAAGCATGTTTAATTAATATAAGTACACAAGACGAAGAAGATGGACATCCTGTCAGGGGACTTTATAATTCAGTCTTACTTGAGAGGAATTTTTAGAAACAAGGGCAAGTCATTGAGCTGCTTTCTCTTGGCAGTGGAATAAAGACAGATGAAAGACTTATTAGAAGTTGTTGGAAAATTTGCAGCAGTTTTGAAAATTCTTTATAAATCTTCCCTGTAACTGTCTACACAGACAAGATATTGTTCATTAGGTGCTTTAAATCATCACCCTGAAGTAACCCCTTAGAACCAGAGTGTCATGGTGATAACACCGTGAAAAACACACAAAAGATAGACATGGCTGCAGCACAGATGACTCCCCAACAAACCGCACTGACTCATCTTATCTCTTGTCACAGGTGCCTCCACCACAGCAACACCTGCCCAGACCTGAGCACCATCCAGCTCAACGCCAGCCTGAAAATGCGCTGGCCAACGAGCTAGCAGATGTTAAGTCCAGCGGCTGGGAGAGTGAACGTGGCTACAAACACCTGCCTGGTGAGAGAGAGAGAGAGAGAGAGAGAGAGAGAGTCGACAATTTTTAGTATTTTTTATAACTGGTTGTCACACGTATTCCTGTTAGTTTGGGTAGTTGCTAAATTTCTCTGTGACACTGAAATAATATGCAAAAAATTAATTTTCACTAGGTTTTAAGGCCGAATCTTCTTTGATTACTTTATGTATGAGTTTCGTTGTTCATAACACTTTATTCTGGGATTTTGCCATGCAAATAATACAACAGTAATCACAAGAAATTATTAAATGGTGTTTTTTTTCCTCTTTTTCCATCTTGTTAATCCTCTTGCAGCCCTTCAGATTTATCTTGTGACCAGGTTGGGAACCACTGCTTTAACTTTTGTGTATTATTTTTTCTTGTTCTCCCTGCCTTCCACCCTACTCCGTGTTTCTGATGCTCCTCAGTGTGGAACCATCTGAAGGAAAAGAAGTGTCAAGTGCAAACCACAGACTGGTCCCAGTGCTCTCGCAGCTGTGGGATGGGTGTTTCTTCTCGAATCACCAACAAGAACCCTCAGTGTAAACTGGAGAGAGAGACGAGGATCTGTACCGTACGCCCATGCCAAGGCCTGAACGTCCCAGCCAAGGTGAAGTAGATTGAACTTGACTTGAACTAAAGGAGAGAGAGAGGCAGACAGAGAGCATAGGTTAAACTTCTTAGTACACCAACTTATCTCAACCAGTAAAACCTGGATGCCTTGTGATAACACTTATCAGTATGGAATTATTTCACCTCTTATCTACCCATGTCTAGCTACACAGGGAAAAACAATACCTGCTCATTTTTGCTCTGCTTCCATGTTTCCCTCTCTCAACTAAAGAGCAGAGGCTGAAAAACATCAAATCTGTGCGGCAAAGAATAAAAAAATAGATGTTCTGGCCCTGAGTAAATATGCTCTTAGTACTAAAGCCATCTTTATCCCAAGCTTAAGAACAGAGATTATCTTAGCGGTACTTTTGGGAAGCTTCACATCCAGTGGGAACCGGGCAGTGCTGATTTACTCAGCGGTGTTTTGGTGGCAGGCAGGCGCCTTTTTAAATATAGTCCCCCACCCCCGGCATTCCTGCCAAGCAACTGTCCATAGCTTGGCCCCGTCTGTGTACTCAGAGTCCAGGGAAGTGGTGTGTCTATATTAATCCTCCATGTTGGACACACACTAAGAACTCTTTTCTCTGCTCTACTGAGTTAAAAGCTTTGGTGCTAAAACAGGTGTCAGTGTGTTTAACAGAGGACACTCAAATGTTAAGTAAATGTTTAATCTTTAAATTAATCACTTAAATCTAAAAATAATCCCTCTTTCTCAATCCCTGTTTTGGCACAACAAGTTGAAGTCTGGTTCTCTTAATGTGAAACTAATGAGTTTGAGCGCAAAGCCGCTTAAAACTGCTGTTATGTAAAATGACAGGGCAGATAAAAGTCAAAGCTTATTAGTGGGTTTTTTTTCAATTAAAATCCTCATATGACTTTTTTGGTGAATTTCGCTACTCAAGCCAATTAGGAACAACACCCGACTCTGTGACACTCATCTTTTTGCTTTTATCATCTAACCACAGACAGGGAGGAAGTGCTCCCCAACCCAGAAAGCCCCAGAGCCCATCCACCTGTCCTACGCAGAATGCGTGAGTGTCCGCCGCTACCGGCCCAACTACTGCGGTATGTGTGCAGATGAACGGTGCTGCTCCCCACGCCGCACCCGCACTGTACCTGTGACCTTTGTCTGCCCGGATGGAGAGCATTTCCAGAGGTCGGTCATGTTTATCCAATCGTGTAAATGCAGTCATGACTGCGGCCACCTCAATGAAGTGGCCCTCCCTCCACAGCACTGGATGTACGGAGACACACACAAGTTCATAGACTAGTACTGAGGAGTCCCTTTTTTTGTTATAATTTCAATGTGATGAGGTCAACTTTCTTGATGAAGGAAGACACTTCAAGACGAGGAGCCATTTTTCTCATCTGGCTCCAAGTGAGTGAAGACCACAGGCACCCGCCTGACTGCAAAGACTGCAGGCAGGAAGGGCCGCCTCAGTTTTGTTCACAATCATGAAGGCAACCCTTAATGTAATATGTGTGACCGGAGAGGATTGTACACTTCCCTGCTCCTGTTCAAACAGATGTGGGACCTAAAATTAGAGCCCTGAAGTGCCCCTGGACTTCCTCCACTCTACACTGATTGCTGGTTCAGGGGTGGAGGATATTTTTTGAGACCCTCAGGTCAGCCTGAGAAGAGAAACACTACAAGAGCAACGAAGCACTTTGTTTAGCACTGAAATTTACTGAACTATAACTTTGGCAGCAGTGCACAAGGATCACCATACCTGCATCAATAGCCTGGTAATGACTACATACCCCACAATGCATTGCAACTACTCAGTGACAAGCAGCAAGAGAGTAACTTTTGCCACTTTTATGTAGAAAACCCTAGAGTATAATGCAAATTGAGGACAGATTATTCAAAATATATAAACTGAACACGCCATGAACAAACACAGACTGCACCAATTGTGCTTTTTGTGACATGCTGACATGTCAAGCCATCTAAATTTACACACAGCAATGAGTGACACTTTCCATGTAACACAGACTGTTAAATGATAAGGAACACTACCTGGAACTGAAACAAGCGTCAACAGGGACTGGACCAACGCCAATGTATTTCCCAAAGACATCTGATTTCTTGTTTGTGCATTTAATGCAGCTTAGAGATATGTCTTACACAAACCTGTTTTTCTTGAGTTCATTTTGGATCACACTGTATTCTGTTAAATGCATTTTCTTTATTTTGATCCAAGTTTATATAATGGTCACATTTATCCACTTCTATGGATTGAGACACCACAGTAGCTGTCACAAGTTTTTGTTGGTCCATCCACGTGATAAAACTGGCTGCTGGGCTCAAGTTTCATGTGGTTTTATTTTAACTCAACTTGTTCAGTTTCAAATTATCCTACTTGGCAGCCAGTTCTGAAGTCATCAACTGTTTGGGAAAACAGTGACCGAGTCTTCAAACTATGATAATAGCGCCCTCTGCTTGTGAGAACAATTACCTACAGTCAAAAGTGACAACACAGAATTTTTATTTTATATGATACCATTTGTGTCATTTTATCTTTAATGTAACATCTAACATACATGTGCAAAATTAAATCCAACATCATCCAATGTGGTATAAAAAGTTTATTTCTTTAACCAAAACAATATATCCATGGTTTTAACAAGAAAAACACTAAAACAAGCAGCAAGGATGTGATAAAATAAAAAGAAATGTTTTATCAATATGAACTTGCCAACAAATATGGTGGGAGGGGGACTTTAAAATAAAATGTTGAGCTTTTTTGTTTTTTTTACCTCCACCAAAATACAGCAATAACAAAGGGTCACACACAATCTTCACTGGAAAGACACTTCAGACTCATCTGGACTGTTCAACTGCAAAGAGAAAAAGCAAAGGTTTTAAGATGTGGGAGAAAAGATAGGCTACGTATGACTGTACATAGACTATCAAATGGGGTGTAGCAGTTGTATTTATGTACAGTAATGTGCTGCCTTTGTGTCAGCACGTTTTTTTTTTAAAACCAGATTAAGCTGAATTTTACACCCAAATTGAGTGACGAGTATGAGATGACATGCACACTAGTATCCTGTGATAATGTAAACCAGGTACAGACATGTCTTCAATTTCTGAAATCCCTGTCTTTTTCTACCCACGATTGGCTATGTGTGGCCGCTGCTTCATTTCTCTTGAGTGTCTTCTCCCCCAGTGACAAGAGCAAAAAGCCTTAATGCATCCACCATGTTTACAACGAGGAGATGACATACGCATGTACACACATACATGGGTTACTCAAAAAACCTGTTATTTACCAGGATACTCTACAACACCACACAATCACACAATTTTCTGCACCAAATTTAACAAATGAACGGTGTCTGGTGGCTCATTGAACCTGTTCTCCTGGACTGCAGCAGAGCCAGGAGGAGTGACTGTCCTGACCAAGCTAAAACCGCCGAGGAGGATCACTTTCCCCCTCTGATATGGCCACTTATGACACTGACAGCCACAAGTGGGCAAAGCTATGAGGGGTGTCACTACAAGCACCGAACTACCTAAACTATCTCATTTGTTGATTATACACAAGAATACATGAGAGGACCTTAACAATGCTAATAATGGGACATTCATAAAATAATAGATATAATGTTTTTATTGATTAAAAGATAATCAGCATACATATCAACAAACATGGTCACTAAAAAGTGGGTATCTTCAGGCCAAGTGTAAAACAGCTTGAAGTGACAAGAGAACTTACTGTAGGAGGAAATATCAATTTCCTCTGGTAGCTCTGCTACGTTGACCTCAAAGCGGTCTTGGACCTCATTGAGGGTCTTGGCATCTGTCTCGTCTGACACAAAGGTGATGGCCAGACCTTTGGTTCCAAACCTGCCGGCACGGGCCACCTGAGATACAGAGAAAAAAAGTTGGAGCTCAAAACAATGCTCTCCCGGAAGGAAGACAAAAATGCCATCAAGTTTCCATGAAAAGAAAGGAAGTTTATATCATGGACAAAGGTGAAAAGTTTGGAATAATTTCTGATTCTTCTATGAATTTTTAAATGTTTTAGATTATAGTCTCCACATTAAAGCAGTTTGCTGTGTCCTAGACGTCATGAATAAATCAGGACTGTTTTAGTAAACTAAACTATCGCTGGACTGACTCTGTGAAGGTAAGTGTCAGAATCCTCTGGCATGTCGTAGTTGAAGACGATGTTGACTCGCTCAATGTCCATGCCTCGGCCAAACAGGTTGGTTGCAACCAAGATCCGCCGCTGGAAGTCTTTAAACTGCTGATACCGGGATAACCTGTGGGGAGGAATGAGCAACAACAGGAGAAGAAAAAAGATAATATTCCAAGGTGAAGGAGACTAAGCACATAAACTGCCAACCTCTAATACAATCTCATTTTCCACACAAAACTGCTTTTAAACCCTCACTAGCTAATTCACTTTCACATTTCAGCTTGAGGACAATGCTGATGTTGTCCAACAAACTTTTCATGTTAAGATTTTAAGCAGTGGCTCTAGCTTAAAAACAAGTTACAGTGCAATGATGTGCTGTTTTCTACATTTTGTCGTGCTCTAGATACTGAAATTACCAAAGCTACTGTCAAATTCAAAGCCTGAAAAAAAGACTAAAATCACAGAGAAATAATCTACCTCTCCTCCTGTGCCATGCCCCTGTGGATTGCAATAGCAGGGAAGTTCTGCTCCACCAGCAGCTGAGACAGAGCCACACAGCGATGTACCGACTTCACAAAGATCACCACCTAATAGGAAACAAAAGAAGAGGCTTGCATATTTTTACTGAGAATTACCAGAATTAACATAACTATCTCCCTCTAGAGGAGAAAGGACAAAACTTTAAAATTATTGGTGAAAAACCAGGGCTGCAAACGTACATTCACAAGGAACCAAAAATACTTAATATGTATACTTATGTGAACATAACTGATCCTAACTCATCATCTGCAATGATTGTACACTGTACCTGGTTGAACTCGAGCACATCAAGCAGGTCGAACAGCTTTCGGTTCTTCTCACTGTCCTTCAACTTGCAATAATACTGCTGTAAGCCGTGGAGCGTCAGCTTGGTCTCGTCATCCACAAACACTTCCATCGGCTGCAGAGCAAGTTAGAGAAGTCAAACACACACACCTCTGTAGACCACATCAGAAATATAATAAGCAAGAAAGAAGAAATCTTGTAGCATACACATGAAAGAATTGGAAAGGACCATAAAGTGAGGGGAAAACTTGATCAGAGAAGTCAGAAAACTTCTACCTGAAATTCCCCATGATTCATGTTTTCCTGAGATCTACATATGAGAACTTCATACAATTTTCTGAACTTGAACCAAATGAACTGTGTCTGGTGGCTCATTGAACCTGTTCTCCTGGACTGCAGCAGAGTCAGGAGGAGTGACTGTCCTGACCAAGCTAAATCTGCCAAGGAGGATCAATTTCCCCCTCTGATATGGCCACTTATGACACTGACAGCCACAAGTGGGCAAAGCTATGAGGGGTTTCACTATAAACACTGAACTACCTAAACTATCTCATTTGTTGATTACACACAAGAATACATGAGAGGATCTTCATAATGGTAATAGTAAGCCATAGATAAAACAATAGATATAATGATCAATTAAAAGATATTCAGCTTTGCTATGTGCTAAAACAGCCATAACCCCAGTGAATACGTTTCTAGACTCAGGGAGACGTGACAGAGAGCTGCGCTCTCTTTTTCAGGGAGGCCATCAGCAACTCCCCTGGAGGTGAAGGCCTTGTTCAAAGGCGCCTCATAGGTGGTAATGAATTGCTCTTTCACTTTCCAGGGATCAAATGGGCAACCTTTCAGTCACAAGGTCGCTTCTCTAACTTTTATGCCGCCACTGATCATAATTAATGTTTGTAGTGACATGCATAAAAAGGAGGAACTATTTACAGCCACCTCACAGCAAAACACTGAATTGTCAACTTATGCAACACAGCAAGAATGAAGTTTCAGGATAACTTACTTACTTGGGAATTATCAGCATTTGTTGAATTTTTGTCTGCCGTTTAAACATGTCTGACCAATCGGATGATTGAATCAATATTCCTGTTGTAGAAACACCACCAATGCCAGCGACTATTTCTTCTATTTGGCTATATCAAAGTGATGTATCAATTTTCATCAACATAAAAATTGGTCTTATTTAAGATATTTATATTTTCTCAGCTTTGAGGTCCTTTAATCTTTGCTAAAAAAAAAATACTCAACTAAAATGTACATATAGCTGAATCGAGTACCATGGGTTCAATATGAAACATTACTGAATCTCAATGATAACTCACATCCTGCATGAACTTGCGGCAAACAGGGCGAATCTCCTTGCTTAGCGTTGCACTGAACATCATAACTTGCTTCTCATGGGGTGTCAGCCTGAAGATTTCCTGGACATCACACCTCATGTCTGTGGTAAAAAAAACAAAAAATTTCCAAATTTGCATCTTCATTCTTCTTTGTATGGAGGAAAAAGAAAATGACTATGACTTTACTCAATATATCTTAATGTCAGGCAAATTTTTAAGCTAATGTTTAAATTTCAAAAATGCATATTAGTTACATTTACTATTAGATGACAGTGAGAAAACCAATTTTCACATTAAATGCTCACTGACAGCTCTATAACTTGGTTTCCTATTTCAGCTAACAGATGAGCAGATGAGATACAACCACAAGGCAGATATGAAATTACAGAACATCTGAGTCTACTGGATGCCCCCACCACCACCACCACCAACACCACCAACACTCCCCTTCCTTCTGTTGCTCTCACTCACCCAGCTGCTCCAGCATCTTATCACACTCGTCAAGCACAAAATGTTTTATGTTCTTCACACTGAGGGTCTTGTTGCGGATGAGGGCCAGGGTACGTCCTGGAGTTCCCACAACGATGTGAGGGCAGTTCTTCTTCAGGACTTCCTCATCCTTCTTGATGGCTAGGCCACCAAAGAACACTGACACCTTGACACTGGGCATGTACTTGGAAAAGCGCTCGTACTCTTTGCTTATCTGGAAGGCCAATTCTCGTGTGTGGCACATCACAAGGACAGACACCTGGCATACAGGGAATGAGGACATTAGTTTTATTAACTGTTTAGGCTTTATGTAGTGTGTCTGCTTTTGGAACGCCATTAAATGTTTTACTGATCCAGGATTTCACTGATTTTCTAAAAGACTTTATGGACTTTTTACCAATACTTCAGGAGTATTTCAGTAATGTTTGAAAGTGTTAATGTTTTGGCAATCATCATAATATTGTATAGTTTCTTCATAAAACCTAATTATAATGAAAGATTTCAAACAGCAAAATTAAACAACACGTTGTTGTTGTGCTTAACATACCAAAAAATAATTAGAAGAATAAAAGAGTGGTATTACTCTGAAAATCATAGTAAATAGTCATGAACTAAATTCCACACCAACATGCCCATTTATATGCACTTGGCTTCAATTATTGTGGGCAAGCCTGTCAAAAGTGCCTTTCCAACCAATGGCGCAGACAGAGAACTTGGCAATCAGCCTGTGCATATTCTCATTTGTCCAGGTCATAGTATCCTAAAGGAGTTTAAATCGAAAAAAATCAAAAAAAAAAAAAAAAAAACTGGGCGATTTAAACTTGGCAATCAATTAATCTGATGCTGAATAAGACAAACCGAGCATTCCTGTCGTTCTCACAAAGAGCAAACAGGGTCTACCTTTATAGGTGACATGTCTTCTGAACAAACTCATCAAAAAGCTTTGATATGATAAAAGACGGAATCAACTGTGTGAGAAGTTTTGTTGTTCGTGTCACCAAATTTCTCTCTCTCCGAAAGCTCTTCACACAAGGATCCATTTTGTTTTCCCAAACACTAAGGTTTGTCATATCCGTAGAGTTTTTTTAATGAAAAAGGTCTCAGGTCCGAGTACTAGACTCAAGGTATTTTGAACATCTGACAGCTACAAAAAAATTCTCCAATTTTACAAAACAGAATCATGCCCTTGCAAATATCACCTAGACAGTATATGGTCATAAAGAGGAGGTATAATGACTCATGAAGACTCAGTTTGAAAGATAAGCTTGTAAAAAGCTCAACAACCAACTCACCTGACCATCCACGGGTTCTATCTGCTGTAAGGTGGCCAGTACAAATACTGCTGTCTTTCCCATACCAGACTTGGCCTGACACAGAATGTCCATGCCCAGGATAGCTTGAGGAATACATTCATGTTGGACTGTAAATAAAACAAATAGCAACTGAACTGTTAGTGAGTGAAAATTTCAAAAACACAGATCATTTTATAACCACATCAACCACAGTGTGATAAAAAATTAAGGGAAAAATTAAGGGTTTCTATTGAGGTAAAGGTCCCAATTTAATATGTCTAGCTGTAATTTTTAAATGGGTATTATGTGCAATTTATTTTGACCTTTAAACAACCCAAAACGGCCAGTCACCTTCTGAGGGATGCTCAAAACCACAGTCGACAATGGCACGGAGCAGCTCTGGTTTGAGGAGAAAGTCTCTGAAGCCTGAGCTGTGGATAGATACATAGGATCCCTTGACCTCCTTTTTGTTTGCTGGGGTCCCACTCTCAGGGGCTCCTTGGGGTTCCTCATCTTCTTCATAGTCCAGAAGTTCATTATCAACGTCGTTTTCAGCCATCTGTATGGACAGCATGTAATTAAAGTGGTCTCACAACCTTTATTAAGCAACAGACTGTGTTAAAGACCCCTTTATTGTGAAAGCATATTTTGAATGAAGGCCAGACGGTCTTACAATGAGATAAATGAATATAAGCAGATTCCTAAGTGATTATAATATCTGTTAATGCTGTTATGGTTCATACTCATTTTCATTATTGTGTAGCACTTTAAATAAGTTAATCTAGGAGCTAACCCTGATGTTTTATGAACTCACTGCAGAATGAAGTGTAGATACTAACTTGATGCTGCAATGACCAGAAACCTAATCAGCTGTCTCGAAAGTCATCTAAGTTAGCAGCAAGGTCCAAGCATTACTCGGCTAATATCTGCAGGCCGCAGCCGCGGTTCACATCAGAATGAATGAGTTCTTCTGACATTAACCACGGCGAGTCCAGTTTTTAATAAAGACAGTTTGTAATTACGGGGAGAATTCTTAGGCATTAAAGTTGCGCTGATTCAAAACTATAGTCGACCAGTGTGTGACCAGGTAAAGACAGTGCACTCATCAACAGTGGACCCTCTTCCCTCTTGTTCATTCAAACCAGCTAGTTAGCAAGCTAGTTGCTAGCAATTGAATGGGACGCACGAATTACTTTTAACTAACTTATCTAACGTCGTACCGCTACGTATGTGGTATTTTAAGTGTATTGTAGTCAGACAAGAAACAATAGTTATGCACCACTCCTAAATAACTAAAGCTAATTGGCTAACTGAATAAAAAATTGGCAATCAAAATCAAGCTAATGTTATTGCGTCTCTTGCGTGTTAGCTACAGAAGCCAATATCAAAACCACAACTTTAGCTTCTACGACGAAATATTTTTTTAATTAATAAACAACCCAAATTTTGACATGGTGGCGGTGGTATGAAAAATACAAAGGCACTGCAATATTACCTTGCTGTAATATTTTATGTCTTGCCGACGTCTATGTGCGTGATACAGGCTAGCTAGCAAGTATTGATAGCACAGTGAGCACACATGTATGGTGTGTTCAGGAACACCTCGAAAAACCTCTAGTTATCGTATCGTTGTGAACCAACAGCTGTAAAAGCAACATGTTAGTATGCTTTTGCGCAACAAAAAAACAACAAACAACAAAACAAAGCCCGCAAAAAAATTTAACCGTTTTCGTTTTATTTAATGAACCATATCATGAAAGTACAGAACTCTGAGCTGTATTCTAGACCGCCTATCAAATAAAAGTCACACATGTTATCAACAGGGCTTTCAGGTTTTTCGCCATGTAAATTGACTTATGGGCAATACTAGCCAAATCTCCAATCTCCATAGCCCTACATTTAGTAGTCCTATAATTTGTACGCATGTCTGTGTAAAATAATGCAGTCCACATTCTACAAGTCATAATTACGGTATTTGAAACAACACCTTAAGGCATCAGTCGCAGGACAGCAGCGCCTACAGAAACAACCGTCGAGTTTTCTATAGCTGTGATTGGACAGCGCCATAGAGGTCGGGAGAAAGGGTCAGAGCTATGATATTTGATATTACATGAAATATAATTGTGCCATACTATTTCTGTAAAAAGAATAATGTTGCAACACGTTTACAGTGATAGTTTTGTTCCCGGTTGCTTTATATGGTACAGACAATATAATGATCTTATCCATATGTAATCTTATCATAGGAGGAAAAGATATTAAAGACATTAAATTGTCAGCCTATCTTTTAATTAAAGGATTCTTCTTTGTAGTTTTACAAAAACTGTACAAAATGAAGTTTTCGATTGTCTATTGTAAAATACATATAACTTACTTCCCAAAATGACATACAAACGTTTATTATTGAACATATTTTGATAATATCATATGTGTACATTTGCTTTAGTGATGAAATCTCTCTCTATTAATAATTTTTTCCCAGTCCTGATATGCTCTGTGGCCATGTTCCCCATTTTTCCAGCCCCACTGTTGCTGGATCACAGCATGTGAACAGATCTGGCTTTCCCACAGCATAGGCAGAATCTGCTGCTCATCTCCTGCAGTTAAATCATGCTGCACCTCATACACCACTGCAATGGAACTGGATGTGTTTTAGTATTGGCAGCATTGGTATTGAAGTTTGACAGGTAGGCCTTTCTATGCCTATTTTATTTAGGAACTGGTCCATCTTGGACCAAGATTAAGGACCTATAATATAACTCATCTTGAAAATGATCACAGTGCACAGTGCATTGATTGCCTATTTCTTTACATTGTTTAATTGATCTCACTAAAGATAAGCAATGCTATTTACATGTTACATTGCAGAGATGAAGAATGACCAACATTGGTCCATTTTTTAAGGACTACTCTTAAAGTTAGGAACTGGGACTCTACCACTGGCAACTGAAGTTGGCAGATATTAAGGTAGGTAGGTAAGGAGCAGTGTTTATGTGATTTTTACGAGCTTGGTGTCTTTAAGAATGACTTTCATTTTGTGTTCCATTGTCCCATGTGCAGTGTTTGAAATCATATGTTTGAAATAATTAAGTTGAAGAACCCTGTTTCGGTTTTGGTTGTCTTTGATTAAATAGGGGCCAAAGAACAACTTTTGGCCCTGGGCCCTCTGGATGGTTAATCCAGCCATGCCAATAGGCTATTTTACTGCTAATCTCAGGACAATTTTTTGTCAGTTTACACAGAACAGCTACGCCTACTTCAAATTTTTTTGTGTGCAAAATCCATGGCTATAAAAAAAATGTAAATGACGTGAAAATTGGGCATTCATATATATTTTTAAAGCTAAAATGCAGAAAAAAGCAATAAAGAATGCAGGCGATTGTAGCTTGTCATAAGACTACAGTTGGTTGCTGTGGTTGATTACTCACAGGACCAACGATTGTCCGAAAATATTACATGTAACATTTTTGTCACATAGTTAATAATTTAGTTGTTATATACACAGCAAAATCCGTTAAAGCTGACACCGCTGTATGACACCTGCGTGTTCCGCCTTCTCGCAGAATAAAACTCTAGGATGATTGGCTCTCTTTGTTGTCCTTCGAAAGGGATCCAGCGATCCGGACAGGCCATTGGTCTGCGACATGCCACTCACACGTCATTCTACACCGTGATTGGATCGCCCCACCTCGTGCTCAACAGAAGGCACAGAACGCCAGCCATTCTGTGTGATTTAGTCGCTATGATTAATGCTGCCGTTTATAGCCTACCACATCCCTGTTGAACCGCAGGCTACATCGCACGGCTGTCATGGTTATTTTAGCGGGTATCTCCAGAAAGATTTCCCTCCTCTAATTCCGTTCACACGCACACACGAGCCTCCAGCGCACAGGGGCTCGCGAGCAGCTGTGAGACGCTGCCTCCCGGTCGAACGGCGGCAGGAGGATGGCACTGCGTTGGACGGTCTCTCTGTATTTGTCCTCAGCGGTCTATTAAGCTTTTAATTAGCTGATAACATACGGTTGACATTTACGACGGACTGGTGTGGGGGCGACGACAAACGCACAGCTCCGATTATGGAAAAGGAGTTCAG